GAGAGAGAGAGAGAGAGAGAGAGAGAGAGAGAGAGAGAGAAGATTGTTGTGCGGTCCAAGGAAAAAGGCGGCCATAGCCGCGGAGCTTGGATATGGAGGTAGAAGAAAGAAGACTAGTGAAGGAGGAGGGAGAGACGAAGGAGGAAAGAGAAGCCATAGCTGAGGAAGAGGAAGGGAGGAACGACAAAGGAGAAAGAAGCCATAGCCGGGGTGGAGGAGAAAGAAAGTGAGAAAGAAGGAAGGAGGGAGAAGGCGAAATGAAGGTTGAAGGGAGACAAGGGTTCGGCAGCCATAGCCGAGTTTACCGAGGTGTTGACTGGGAGTTGATTGAGAGTTGACTGGGGTTGACCAACGTGTTGACCAACGTGTTGACCAAGGCGTTGACCGGGGAGTTGATCAAAGTTGACCGGGCGTTGACTCAGGGGTTGACCGGCATTGACCACGACATTGACCAAGACGTTGACCGGAGCCGTTGACCGTGAAATTGACCAAGCTGGACTTGGTATATTCTTGCCAAGCCTTCAACCTATCCCCTCGCCCTATGGATGTGCACTCACCCCATGGTACTTGCTGAGTCTGTTTGTCTCTTCTTTCTGCATCGAGTCTCTTCTGTCCAGGTGATAGGAACTCCGTGTATGAGGTCGTAGAGCTTCGTTGACCAAACCCACACGGGCTGAGTAGGGCTTAATTCCATGTCTGGCGACTGAAACGTCCCGGAGGACAAACCCTCCCAAGGACCGGTACAGACCGGCGGGCTGAATAGTGTGGCATGGGTGACCCAAAATACGAGTTGTAGGCTGCACAACCAGCTGTCTAAGTGTTGAGAGGATTTGCTGATCGCGCCGTCCTGTTTGCGATGTTAAACAATTCCGGAGGAGTTATGGGGGATCTCCTTAAATGCCTCCTGATCAGCGCTGAGGTCCTGTAGTGACAGCTTAGAAGTAGGTCTAGGCTAGTGACCATAGTTGACAGAGTTTTGAACCGAAGAGAAAGCCAGGTGGGATTGACCGCAGGTGTTGGGCATCTGGTCTAGTTTGTTAAGGACAGTGGTGGCGAAAGCTTTCGTCGGCCGTGGTAACCTCGCTGGATCAAAGGGTAAGACTTTTGTGATCCTTAGACAGTCAGTTAGTCAGTCGTGTGGGTAGGTCTAAGTGGTGAAGAGTGGGACAGCTGTGTCGTGCACCTAACACCATGGATGACTACCCTATGTACGGTCTGCTCGTGGGGTTCTCCCTCTAGGGGACCCTCTGGCATCTCCTCTTTCCATTAGGTTCTGGAACACGTTTACGTGTAGAGTAGAGACTAGAGGTGGTGTTAGTACCACTCCTTACACGAAGGACCAAGAGGAGGAGGCTGCGAGAATCTTGGCCGAGCAGAAGGCCAAGAAGGAGGAGGTTGTGAGACAGGCCAAAAAGTTGGCCTTACTGGAGGAGCAGGCCGCAAAAAGGAAGAAATTGGAGGAAGAGTTTGAAAGGAGAGAAAAAGGTGGAAGAAGAAGTGCCCCTGATTAGAAGAAGTATCAGGGACAGAGGCGAGACGAGTGGCACAAAGAAAGAGGATTCCTGGCTGGAAAAGAAGGTTTCCGAATGGGTTGCTAATATGTCTCTGGGAGAAGAGGAGGCGGAGATGTTATATGTTCCCAGGGAAGAACAGCAGGCGGTCGTTAAACAGTTGGAAGCCGAGGAAGATCCTTTCAAACGGCAGAGGATAGAGGAGGAGAAAAAGTTGGAGTGGAGGTTGCGTCTGACCAGGGAGAGGAAGAAAAGGATGGAGGCAGCGAGTAAGGCCGCGAAAGAACTAGAGGAGGTGAAACAACCAAGGGTGCAGATGGAGGCATAGGCGGATTGGTAGGGAAAGATGGAAGTGATGGCGAGGAATATAGAACGCCTGGCGCAAGCTCAGGAGGAGCAATACCAATTTGGGAGGAGTCCGGATAAAGCCCTGCGATCAATTCGATTGGGGTTCGGAGATTGGCACGTGAAATAATCATGCACATGGGCTCAGAAGTGCAGACGAGGTTAGACAGCACAGAGCTATTCTCTACCAGCGCCATAGAGGGCGCAAAGTTGGCTGCACCAAAAGAGGAGGAAGCACATCCCCATAGGGAGCCCGTGAAGGTGAAGTTCCCCGATTCCTACAGTGGGAAGAAGGAGGAGAACTTCAATAATTGGGAGGTGAACTCCTACGTGCATCAGCAAAAGACATCTCCTGACGAACATGTCCTCATAGCCTTCCATGCTCTCAAAGACGAAGCAGCAAGCTTCGCCAGGTCGCTTTGTCGCGCTGCTAATTGCAATAACGACATGGTTGCCTATTCCGCGTTCACTCCCCTCAGTGAGTTCTTCAAATTATTACGCGAAAGGTTTGCAGATGGCACACGAAGCGTTAGAGCTTCTGACAAACTGCAGACCATTCATTCTCGCCAATGGAGGAGTGCCAGGGCACTCAAGGGCGTCATGGATGAGTTAGTCACTGTTCCTGATCATGGGGTCACTGAGACCCAATTAGTCAACCTATTCTACTGCGTCATGCATGAGCCTTTATGTGTGCACCTCTTTGAGAAGAGTAGAGAGGCTACCATGACCTACGATATCTTGAGTAGGGAAGTGGTAGCGTATGAGGCGCAATCCATGTCAGTTTCCACTTTCTGGCATAAGGACTTGTATAAGGGCAAAATGTGGAAAGGTCGTACCATCTCAAATCAGGTTAAGGGCAAGGATCACCTGATCCTTACATTAGACGAGGGTGGTATGGAAGAGGTCCCATACGATCAGATAGAATGGGGTCTCGAAGAGGATGATAGTAGTGTGGGTCAGGGGAGGACTTATGCTGCTGTCGCGGCTGGAGGGAGGCCGCAAGGAAGTGGGAGAGGCCAGGGCCAAGGGGGCCGGATCTCTGGTGGTCGTGGACAGGGCGATCAGGGGGTTGGTGGTAGAGGAGGCCACCAAGCGGGAGGTAGTGGTCAAGGTCCCCCGCAAAACCACTCTAGTTTTAATCGATCACCTTATAGGAGGGGTGGATGGCACCCTGGCTTGCCGCAAGGCAGGCCTTGGGAAGATTTGGGCTTAGAACAGACTGTGTGGCAGCGTCGCATAAACCAGGATCAGTGCATTTATTGCGGTGATCCCGAGCATGTTATAAAATATTGCCCCAAGTATAGAGAAGCCCGGTTTCCTGCACAGGCAGCAAAAGGCAACCACCGGTAGGGGTTGCAACTGCCCTTACGCCTAGACCATGTGGAGAAGAGTGCGCGCACCACACAGAAACTCCCAAACCACATGTGTCTATGGCAGAGGTTGTTGGCCAGTTCCTAGATAGTTGTCCAGAGACTGCTTGTGCTAGAGTCTCTCTAGGCACTTCCCTCACAGGCGTGGCAGAATAATTGAAGGAGAGGATGCCTGCCTGGGCCAAGATGAAGAAGGTCGTGAAAGGACAACTAGTTTCAATGGATATAAAGGTCTTTAGAGGTAGAGTACGGGCCCTTATAGACAGCGGGGCCACCCACAGCAATATCAGTAGAAAAGCGTTGCAGAAGTTGAAGTCAAAAAGCTAGAGTACCCTATAGTCGGTATCCTCGCAGACAATCGCACTATGCGCATCGAGGATTATGTAGAGGGAGTCCAAGCGTACTTCCGCTTAGAGAAGGATGGGAAGGTAGAAAAGGTTCTTCATTCCCTGACTCTCCTCGTAGAGGACAGCCTTCCTTTTGACATGGTCCTAGGAATGCACTGGGAGAGGCAGCAGAGGCCACACTCCACTTGAGAGAGCACGAGTGCAGCATTGCGGACTAGATATGGGCACTACGAGTTTATAGTGATGCCTTTTGGACTAACCAATGCGCCAACTACATTCAAGCGTTGTATGAATGATCTGTTTAGGCCGTGGTTAGATAGATTCGTCGTAGTGTATCTAGATGATATTCAAGTGTTTAGTAAGACCCTCCAGGAGCATGAGGGCCATCTGAGGCAGGTCTTGGAGAAGCTGAGAGAAGCTAACTTTAAGATCAACGCAAAAAAGTGTGAGTGGGCCAAGACACAAGTCTTGTACTTGGGCCACGTCTTAGATGGAGACGGTATAAAACCCGAAGATAATAAGATAGCAATGATCAGAGATTGGCCTACGCCCCGCACATTGACATAATTGCGGTCGTTTCTAAGCCTAGCCAACTACTATAGAAAGTTCATGAGGAACTTTTCTACTCTCGCTGCACCCCTTCGCAGGTTGTTAAAGAACGAAGCAATCTGGGAGTGGGATAGAGACTGTACAAAAGTAGGCCTTAATAGAGTATCCAGTCCTCAAGGTAGCTGATTCATCTTTACCTTTTGTTGTCACCACTGACGCAAGTCGGTATGGGATAGGTGTTGTGTTACAGCAAGATGATCGCAATGGGTATAGACCCGTAGAGTTCATGTCTGCTAAGATGCCTTTAGAGAAGGTAGCGACATCAACCTATGAGAGGGAACTCTACGCTCTTAGGCAAGCATTAGATCACTGGAAGCACTACTTGCTTGGGAGGYACTTCAAAGTCTATTCCGACCACGAGACACTAAGGTGGTTGAAGACACAGGCCAAGATGACACCTAAGCTTACTAGGTGGGCCGCGGAGATAGATCAATATGACTTTGAGCTTAAGCCAGTACAAGGGAAATATAATGTAGTCGCGGATGCTCTAAGGAGAAGAGTTGATTACTTTGGAGCGATAGTTCACTATTTGGATATAGGGAGAGACTTGCAACAAAAAGTCAAAGAGGCATATGCACAGGACCCTATTTATAGTGATCTCCTCAAGAGAGTTAAGGAGTCTCCAAAGACTAAGCAGGACTACCGCACTACAGACGGGTTACTATTTGAGAAGACTAACGTAGCTGACCGCTTGTGCGTTCCCGACAGCGAAGAGATCCGTAGTTTGATCTTAGGGGAATGTCACGATACAGAGGGGCATTTTGGTTGACAAAAGACATTAGCCAACCTCATGCGCGCGTATACATGGCCGATATGAAAGTCAACTGCTTATAGTATGTACGCAGTTGCAAAGTTTGTCAACGTAATAAGACTACTACACGGGCCCCTCTTGGTCTTCTCAGACCCTTGCCTATTCCCATAGGACCCGGAGATTATGTGTCCATTGACATTATGGATGTTGGGGTCGAGAGTAGGCATGCCACGAGCCAGGTCGTGGTTGTAGTTGATAGATTTAGTAAATATGCAGTCTTTATTCCTTCACCCGCAAAGGCACGGACAAATTTAGTTTAGACAAGTTCTTTGATCATTGGGTTAGTGAACATGGTCTCCCGTTGTTGATAGTTAGTGACAGAGATACTAGGTTCACTAGTCTGAACTCGCAAGAGTTGATAAGAGTCTATGGCTCTAGGTTGTTAATGTCATCTGACTGTCACCCTGAGACTGACGGTCAGACTGAACAAATGAACAAAATCCTGCAGCAAGTTCTCAAAATGTATATTAGGCCTGATCAGCTTAATTGGGATGAGATGCTTCCCAAGGTAGCCAGCGCATACAATAACAGTGTGCACGTAGCGACTTGCCGCACTCCCAATGAGTTACGTAAGTCCTTTCGACCGCGTAGACCGTTTGAAGGACTGAACCGGGATCAGATTCACAGGCTACCGCCCGGTACTAGGGAGTTCGCACTACACTACGAGAAGGAGATTGCTACCGTCACAGAAAACCTCAGGAAGGCCCAAACATAGAATGATAGAGCAAGCCAATAAGCATCGTCGCTCATCACAGTTTCAAGTAGGCGACTTAAGTCTGGGTCAAGTCCAAAGAGTTTATTCCTGAGGAGAACATCTCGCAAAAGTTACGCATAGCGAGGACCGTGGCCAGTCTTAGAAGTCAAGGGCGGAGAGGATGGACCGTCCTACACAGTTGAGATTCCGGCGCACCTCCACACCTACCCAGTGTTTCATGCGTCGAAGTTGTTGCCTTGTATCACAAGTCGACAGTTTCCATCACGAAGGTCCATGATCTCTCCGGACATGGATGGAAGGTACGACATTGACGGCATCATAGGTGAAGATGTGTTCAAAACAAGAGGCAGAGGTCGTCCACAAAAGCAGTGTAAAGTTAGGTTCGCTTTTCAAGAACCGGAGGATGACCGCTGGTTTACATTAACAAAACTTCTTGAGACCGCTCCTGATGTAGTTCGAGCCTATGAGAGAGATAAGAAAGGTAAAGGTCCTACCTTGGACTAAAGTATTCTCGGAGGACCTCGAATTTAGGCCGGCAGGAGTGAAACGGTTTTCACCTTTTGCAGTCACAGATGCAGGCCCAAAGTTCGATCCCCAAACCTTACCTTACCCATGTATAGTATCGTGTTCACCCTTGAGTGTTTAACCCGAGACCTGTGTTTTGGTAGTTGGTTGTTGTCTGTCGTAGGTCTGTGTAGTTGTAGGGGTTTGATATGTAGGTCTGTCTAATAGGGGTCATAGTTGTGTAGAGGCTGTAGCTGTAGCGTTTCTGAAAGGTCAAGGTCATAGCTTCTACAGTCCTGAAAGGTTAAGGTCGTAGCTGCCACAGTCCCAAAAGGCCAAGTCCACAAACTTCCGGAAGGTCCGGAAGTGGCCTTTTGAGAGTTTCTCATGTTTAGTCAGAGGCAAGTGGGCAAGTGGTGAGTCCAACTTTGCTTAGTCAGCGGTACCCAGTCCCAGTCTCACTTTGCACAGTCAGCAAGTACCATGAGGGAMTGTGTGCACCATGGGCMTGGTGGAAAAAGAGCAGACCAACGACTTACARAAGTATAAATCAAGAGGCARCGTCCAGCCATTCATTCAYTCCTGCRTGAGCCATGCGGAAGCGCTGCCCGAGCGGCTTGTGCGAGGTGGTCTGCAGGTGCCCGAGGTCGAAGTGGGCTTGAAGGAGTCAGTGCGCCATAGTTAGTAATAGCCGGCGGTCATAGCCGCCATAGCTAGTGTTACAGGGTTAGTGTGTGTGAACGAGTGTGTGATACAGTGAATGTGTGTGGGGTATTCAGGATGATCCAAAGTTGAGTGTGTGTGAACAGTGGTGTTGGACACAGTGATGAGAGTTGGGATGTACAGGCGTTGATGCGCCATAGCTTATCGAAGCGAGTTTGCATCTAAACTGTATTCTTAGTTTCCATATCTCTGAGCTTTGAGTGGGCACTTGGCGCCAGTGTGAATTGCCATCTGTTTGCATCTATGCGAAGTGAAGAAGAAAGCGAGTCTGATTGCATTTACACACATGGATGCAAAAAACATCTGATTGTAGTGATTGTGACAGAGACGATGGCGGCTACAGCCGAGTGAAACCGTGTCTGTAGCTATGCAAAGGAGAAGGTCGCAGAGTGTTGGTACATTGTCCTGCTGGAGCACAAGTCATGGCATGGACCATGATGCCGTAGTCCCACAACTCCCAGTGGTCAAAGGCGTGTACAATGGCCATGTAATAGCCAGGTCCGTGCACAATGCAGGCAGAGATGTGGGATGGAGGATTAAACCACTCACCTGCTCGAGCATTACGCAGTTAAAGTTGGAGGTCCCTCATTGCTATTTGTAGGACAGCAATGGTAAAGCCTGTTTCCCTGGTATAATTACAATCCTTTGGTGGTACGTGGGGGGGGTCAGCATCAAGCTGAAGGGCGATAGCAACAAAGTCTGATGGTGTATAAAACAAGCAGTGGAAAATATAAAGGCAGATATTAGTTGCAGTCAGACCACAAAGATTGATGGCGGTCTCAGGCTGGTATGTCGGATCCTGGCCAACGATTTGCAGATCACCCAGCTGGTGTTGCAAGCACAAATTGTCTTGGGTTGTTTGCTGGTCAGTCATTTGCAGATCACCCATGTGGTCTGCGCGTGGAGGGGCACAGATTTGTGCTTCTGTGAAATGATGCCGGTCAGCCATTTTTAGATCCCCCATGTGGTCTACGCCTTGTGGAGTTAACTGCAATCCAGGCAGATCATGTTCCACTCCCTCAACGTTTGGGGCCGCATCCTAAGCAGGGACTGTCCCGGAAATCGGGAGTGTACTATGGGCAGGGACCATATCCTGTTGTACAGGTGGAATATCTAATGCTGAAGGGCATAAGACATGGTGTCGTGGCTGCCGGCAGGCAGCTGGACTGTCTGCTGGAGGCCTAGGAGTGGATATCGCCGTTTGGAAAAGAGGAACCGCAACAACCTGTGGAGCAGGCATAGAGAGAATTGGGCCAGACAAAGAAACAGGCTGCTGATCCCCGGACAAGTGACGATGCCGCGGATATCATCGATGATACACGAGAAGGGGAGTAGTGGTGTGCAGACAGAAGATGAACATGTCCCTGGCAACGAAGGTGGACCAATGGGAACAATGGAAACCGGAGAGTCTTTTTGCAAGCGAGATCGTGGAGGAGATGAGGGTGGCGAGGAGGAACGCAGCCGTCTGCAGCCAAGCACAAAAAGAGATGAAGAGGGGCGGATTGGGCAGGATTTCGAAACAAAGAACGTGAATGTTCGAGAGACTGTCATGTTCTTTGCGCTGGAGCTGCAGTGGAGGAAGCTGTAGCAGCAAAAGTATAGTTTGGAGGACTGCAGCAGAGGAAGCTGTAGTGAGAACTGCAGTAGTGGAAACTGCAGTAGCAGAAACTGCCAGAGTGAAAGTCGGAGCTGTAGAAAGTGTAGCGGTGGAAACTGCAGTATCAGAAATTACTGCAGCGATGGGAACTGCTGTAGCAGAAACTGCTGGAGTGAAAACCGGAGCTGTAGAAACTGCAGCAGTGGAAACTGGAGCAGTCGAAGCTGCAGGGGTCGAAACTGCAGCAGCAACAGATGAGCAAGCAGGAGCAGGACAAGAGCGACGCGGGGGAAAAGAAGGAAGTGGATGATACAGGGACCATCGCAGCATGCATCGGAACCACTGAGAGAGACACGAGACAGATATTAGTTGCGGTCAGACCACATAGGGAGAAGAGGATAACAAACGACGGGCTGTGACAAACTGTTTCGTCGGAGTNTGCTCCTCGTAGACGTACCAGGACTCTACAAGAACTGTCTCTTATACACATCTAGATGTGTATAAGAGACAGCACACAGAGGGAGGAGACCTTGGAAGAATGGTGAGGGAGGAGGAGGGCGGGATGGACTAACTTACCGGGTCGAAGATGAGCTTGCGAACCGTGAGGGACGTACACTCATTTCGAAAGTTTTAATGCAGAGTCGCAAATCACCACGGCTAGGGCCTGGGTAATCTGCAACGTTCGCCACCTCTTAGAAAGGGCAAACCGGGTAAAACAGGGTACAGGCCCAGGCCCCAATGGAGAGGTGCAGATTGCAAATTTGCACCCCACCCTGACAGGGGCATATCACAGAGAATTCAGGCCAAAAGGACATTCCACTCTTCCTGCATCTTTTAGGGGAATTTGGCATACATCTCAACTTCGAGGGGTATAAAGCAATTTTTCCGAAAGAAAAAGGTTGTACAATGTTGCAATACAGACAACTTGTGCCAAGGGTCCTGTCGAAATGAAGGAGCAAATATGAAAACAACTGGGGTAGGACAGTACTGGTACCAGAAGTAACCAGACACTAGTTGTATAAGGTACGTATGTTGTATTCGAATACAAATCATACAACATACCCACATTCGAATACAAGACATCCCGTATTCGAATACAACACACCCTGTTCTCGAATACAACATGCGAATACAACATACCCCGCATGTTGTATTCGTATAGAATAAGGGCTTCTCAAGATCTATTTTCTGCTCCCTCGTCTGAATGGCCAGGCCAGTGGTAAGCTACACTATCGACTCCACCGGCTAAAAACGGTCGGTGTGTGGAGATGCAGATTTGCAGTGTGGTGCAGAGAACGACCACCAGCGTGGCAAGGACGATATGTGAGGTTCCACGGCTCCCACCGCCGATCAGAGAAGGGAAACATTTCCGACATCAAGCTGTATGTAAATGCGAAGCCAATAAATTCCAAGGCAAAGCCTGTTGGGTCTACCTAGAAATGGGTTACTCTTTTTTTTCCCTTTTTTCTTTTTGGGTTACTTTTCCGTCTACTGCTTTTTCGGTGGGCGCCTCTTCGGCTTTACAGTGGCAAGTCGTGGGGATCGCTGGTCCGACAGCAGTCCCAGGTCGCCCGGTTCTTGAGGGAGCAGAGGTCCCGGGTCCAAGTCCCACTTATGCCTGATTGTTCATTTGTGGCCGTCGATCTTGCTGATAGAAGGTCGGGAATTGAGAATTCTGGTAAGTGGGACTTGGCCCCCGGGCCCCCCTTGGATTCCTCGTGATCCACGGGCAGAAACGAGGAACGCGAGTCCCAGGCGAGCGGGAACGCAAAGGGAATGGCGGGATGGACCCGGAGGGCGGAGCGGACATTTTTGCATGCCGCGATTCGCGCAGTGAAGCGGGGCAATAACGTAGCAGGTGACGCCACGTGGTGCGGTAAAGGGGAGGCCGCCACTACGTAGTTACTGGTAAAAGCGGATGGCGGGAGGAGGTCCGGCCCTGGAAAAGTGAAGAAGGCGGGGAGATATGAAAACCGTGGCGGTTGAAAGTTCTCTCGCTTTCGCTTTTTGGGTGCTCGTCCCCATTTATTTGATTTTCGGTTTCTGCGTGCTCGTCCTCATTTATTTGATTTTCGGTTTCTGTTCCGTTTTGTCTTGCTCGATCGCGGTCGCTGTTGTCGTGTGGTTATTGTTGTCGTTGCTTTTTTTTTTTTTTAATCTTCCACTCCTCTAGTGGGCGTTGTCCACGAACGGCGAGAGAAAAGTGCGCGGTGTGAATGCATGGAGGTAAATAGTCGAGCAAGAGACATCTGCGTTCTCATCGGCACAGCGCATGCTCGCGCCGAAGGGCTCATCTCGGCGGTGGGCGACCTCGGTGCCACGTGGGGCAATACGGTAGCGTGCACGCACGTGCTGAGAAGAGGTAGGATTCAGCAAGAGGAGGCAGGTCCGATACACTCCCTGTGTGTGTGTGTGTGTGTGTGTGTGAGAGAGAGAGAGAGAGAGAGAGAGAGAGAGAGAGAGAGAGAGAGAGAGA